CCGTAACTCTCTCTTTTCCAGTTGCACCTTCTTCTGGAATCACACTCAGGATAGGGATTTGTCTATTAATGCTTCCTCTGTTGTTTTTGTGATGTCCAGGCCTTCTCCCAGACAAGTATCTAGAGTGTGTTCAGACTTCAGGAAGGCTCTTGGTTTGCTCCCATTGTCTCTGGCAAGCAAGCAGCTTTGTGGCTTACATTATTCTACTGAGCCCTCAGTGTTTCCTTCCTTGCTTGCCACCAGAATCCCCATTGTTTCTCGCAGCACCTTTAGACCTAATCCACTCCATACTCTATTGCAAGCGAAGCCAAGTCCTTAGCTGAGGAGCAGTCTCTTCCTCTGAATCCTTTTTCCTCTCTCTGTTCTTAGTGACAGAGCTCAGAACCACCACTGCTATGCTGAGGTCTGGAGTAATGGTCGCTTCTTTCTGAGTGCCTCCCTTGCTTCTTAGTTGGACAGAGGTTGTGGCTTCTGGTCATCTTGGCTTGCCAGCTCTGTAGGTGAGGTGGGGTCAGGGTCAGAGCCCCACATTTATGGCCTGTTGTGCTTGGAAGAGGGCTTTTGTCCTGTGGATGAGATGGTGCTGAGGATGAGGACACCGCATCTCTTGGCCACATTACTGGGATTTGGCTGCTGCACCTCAGAGCTCAGAGGGACAGATGTCATGGCTTGCCCTTCTTCCATCTTCTGGCTGTTGATGGGAGAGGGAGCCCTACTTTTCTGACCACACTCCATCAGACTGGAGATTCTTTCTTGGAGGTTGGTAAGTAGAGAGAGGGTGGCAGTTGAAGATCCTTATCCTTTCTTCTTGAAATTTAGTAGTTTTTCTTATATAAATATTTCTTAATGTTTTATGTGGTATTAAGATAATTTCCAGAAGGACCACTGATCATGTTAAAATATTTTTTAGCAGTTATGTTTGCTTTACTTGGGATGAGTTTACTTGGGATGAGTTTTACAGAGCTCCTCATTTGCTGTTCTAGAGGCGGCAGTCTGACATGGCTCTTTACATTCCCAAAGTTAAAGTGAATCACAACTTGTACAATGAATAACCACTAAGACAGCAATATGCAATGTATTAATTATTGAAACTGTCCTACTGATCAGATTTGAAACTGTCTCATTGGTCTTTGTTTCTCAATAAAACTATTGGAAAAAAAAGTAAATCATGACAGTCATAACATATTAGTAAAGGAGCATCTTATAAAAAACGAAGGACTCTCCAGGTCTAGATTTCTAAGCAGCCATACCTAGCTGGAGCTTTCTGCTCCAACTGAATCTACTGAAAAGTTTAAGAACTTCACAAGGTACTTTTGACTAAGCTGCCTTAGGATACTCAACAGCCTATTTTTCTTTTTTCTAGTAATGAGGAGTTTACATTTAAAGTTTCTGCCTCCAGTTTGAAATCATTATTTTAAGATGATCTTAGAGTCTCCTTCTTAATTTACATGATAGCCTGAGGCTATTGATGATTCTTTAAGCCCAAAATTTAAATGTATTCATTGGGGTCAGTTTCTTAGAAGTGTGGAGCTCTACCCTGAGCCAGACAGTAAGGTTGATTGTGGTGCAGTGGGAGAATCCTAATGAAGATCGTATGACTTGGAGCCCCGAGGAGCCATGAATTTGTGATTCAGACAGCCAAGAATACACGATTAAATTCTACTTTCCAGGCATGTGGTTAGTACTGAGATTCCCCCTGGCAGTGATTAAGATAGTCAGAGTTGGTAGCTATCACTAATCCATCATGTGATTACTTTGGCCCCTAAATAAAATCTTCCACAAAGAGCATCTTGTCCAGATTAAGGGCTGTCTCTCTTCTAGGGACATCACACTACATCTATTGTCAGGAATCTGTGCTTTTCAATTTTTTTTTTTTCCAGTGGTGGTATTACTGTTTCTCAATGTTTTATTGCACAGTGATCAGCTCTATTAATCTTTGGCTCATCTATATGAGAAGTGAATAAGGTTGCCCAGGAAAGCAGATATCAAGTAATATATATTAAAATCACCATTGCAAAACTGATATAATTATGAGACCCACATTCTCTGACTCCAGCCTTCCAATTATTATGATTTGTGGATATCTCTAGTTTTTTCTCCCTCTTCTTATCTGTCTAAACTAATGTTCCCTCCTTTCCCTGTATCCGCTTTTGTCTTTTCTGTGAAGTAGATAACTAATCTCACGAATAAGCCTTCTACTGTCATCATTCAGTAAACACTGAGAGAAGCTTACATAGAGAGCGTTGTGCTGAGTGCTGGGTTCTTGCTGTCAGAGAGCTGATTTTCTTGGCCCTGGAAAAGGTTTATAGTCTCGTGAAGGGGCCATTATGCAAATAGAAACAATAGCAATACTAGTGTTCTAGAAGAGAAGAATGTGTAGGCCTCCTGGAGGACTCGGATGTTGGGTCTCACTTCTGTAAAACAGCAGAAGTCAAAAGAAGGCTCATCTCCAAGAAGCAATAATTAACTGACCCAGGACTACAGATTGAGACCAGACTGGCTTAGGCAAGCAGTGAAAGGTATGCATTCCAGGCATGAAGGAAGGCCATACAAACTGTCCCCATTTGCACTATTCATCTTTTACAGATGGAGCCTAGTAAAAGTGCATCTCCTGGGTCATAATCGGGCCCTCATTTTATGTCTGCCCTTTTCAGTTCTCCTGGTGCTGGCCTTTTTGGTAAGGAGTACAGTAGCATTTTCTGACACAACATCTAACATACACAGGAGGACCTTCAAGTGTTAAAATATATAGAAAGAGGGGCTAGCGAGATAGCTCAGTGGTCTAAAGTGCCTGCTTAGGTGAGGTTAGGCAAGTGTGAAGGGACCGCATTTGGATACCTGGTATCACATGCCATGCCAGCCCTGCCCCCAGGGTGGGATGAGCTGGCCACAAAAACAAATGTGTAGAATGAGTAAATGACATAAAACCTTTAATCCTTATGCAGGTTGGGAGTAGTTGTTTGCCCTGGAAACTAGTCCATATCCTCTTCATATAGTGTTGCAAGCCTTGTGTCTTGGTTTACTCCTTTCAGTGAAAGGGGTGAAAGAGATGCTCCATCTAAAGAGATGGACTGTAAGTTAAATTCTGGCTTATGATCTTAGTGTGCTTAATTAAGAAAATTATATCCTTTGACCCATGTCATGCACAGGTAGGTAAAAAATAGGATAGTTTAAGTAATCACTTTGCTTCAGCAATTTCCTTAGTTAAAAAAAAAATATGTACAGGACTAGTGAGATAGCTCAGTGGCATGAGTGACTGCCTCTCAAGGGCAAGATTCTGCCTTCAATCCTTGGTATTGAAAACAAAATGTATGATTAATAAATGCCCTGTAACATGCAGTGGGAGAGTTCCAGCTTTGGCATTTCATTCCTTCTGAGTGAGGTACTCCTCATTTAAGGGACTGGAATCTTTCAACAACTCTGTCATTGACCTTTTCCTGATCCTTTGGGATTATGCCCTCCAAAGTTTTCTGCAACATTTCCAGGCTTGGTTGGAGAAGGGGATGAGGAGAGACCAGGAGACAGCCCTCCCTCACCACATGGGTGTTTCCCACAAAAGTGTTACACTGTGTACAGCTTTGGTTTCTAACAGAGGACAAAACTCTAAGCACCATGGCTTTATGTCCTCAGCAAGGGCATCCAGAATCCCTCTCGGCTCAGCACCTACGCGTTCCCCCTGCACAGTCTGCAGCCTCACATTGTCAGTTGTGCCACCTCACCCTCAGGATTCCCGTTGTGCGTCTGTTCTTTCCCACCTCTGGATACGGGCTAGCCTCCTGAGACACACACACACACACACACACACACACACACACACACACACACACCCCTCTCTACCCAAGGACCGAAAGATCATTCTCAGTACCTTTACAGTCATGCCTTCAGGAAGAAGGGGTTGATTTTCTAGCTGACACAAAATCCTCAAGGCAACACTCTCTCCGAAGTCTGGCCACCTTATTTTTATGTAAAATGTGTATACAATTCCCTTGCTCCAGCTTCTGCCCACTGTCCTCCTCCTCCCATCCAATTTTAAATTGCATTCTCCAAGCCCTCTGGGAATCAGAGAGGGGCTATGTGGGGCCATATCCTCCTCCAAAGCTGCTCTTTAACAATGAGATGCTTTGCCACTGCGGTTCCATTAAGGAATAGATTAACTCCTTATCTAAGAGTCCACTTTACCCTCAATTTCCAACTAGGCAGGAAAGGAGGCCATGGATTAATTTTCTCTTGCATAAGTGTAGGTAATTGATGACCCACGTGGCACAATAGCGAGGCCACATAGTCTGACAGAGGATTTATTTTTTTCTGAGTCATGATTCATTTTCATTAAGTCTTACAAAGGAATAAAAATCAAACCAGATTCTAGCATTGTGTGCAGAATTTAAATAATTATCTTTCCTGAAGAAAAGGAAAAAATCACACAAACTCTCCTAGAAAACTAAGCCAATATGGTCATCATTGCTTTATAATATATTCTTGAGCTAATTATGAAAAATGTTCAAGTCTAAAAAGAAATCTTAAGAAAAAAAGTCTTTAATATCACAGCCATGTATCCTGGTGAGGCTAAAATTGGGTAAAGGCAAAGCTGAATGCCAAATGATAATTCCTGCTAAATAATTCAGGCCATGTGAACTCTGATATTTTACTTACTTTAATGAGTATAATGGGTGCAATTACAGGCTGCTTTTCCTCATGGTGCCAGGCACAATGTGCTCTCGCCTAATTGTGGGCTCCATCTTTCTTTAGCTAACCCATTTCTGCAAAATTTCCCTGGAACCCCAGTACCTTGTGTTAGTAGCCACTAAAAGGATGTGTGTTGAGACCACGCACTGAGAAAGTTTTGGTGATGATTATTGTGAAGAAGAGATTATAGAACAAACAGGCGGCTCTTCCCTGAGCCCCTCTGTGATGAACTCCCTCATAGCACAGTAGCATAGGAAAGGGCAATGGAGGAGGAGGGTGTCTCTCTGATGCTGTTTCCTCTCCTTCTCCTGGCACAGGGAAGTGATGCTGACATGGTGGATAAGAACAAGTGCTGCACGCTCTGTAACATGTCTTTTACCTCAGCGGTGGTGGCTGACTCGCATTACCAAGGCAAAATCCACGCCAAAAGGTTAAAACTGTTGCTAGGAGAGAAAACGCCATTGAAGACCACAGGTATGTGTGTGACAGCAATCCTGGGAGACACTGAACACCAAGCTCTGCGCCTGTCAGTCAGCCCACTCGTACTGGGGAGAAGCAGCTGCCAGAAGCAGGGAATAACTGGCAGATGTCACTCAAAGCCCAAAGGACGGATGTGTGGCCTCAGCATACCTTACTGTAATCGACCTTTGAGTGCAATTGCAGGAGCTCATTGTCTCAGATCTGCAGATTAGCAATGCAGCAGCTTTCATCTCCTGAAAGGCTGCTTACTTTCCGCACGATGCTGTCTATTCCATCTATTATAAGTTATGTAAGATGTTGTGTCTATTATGTTTCCCCCTCGATTCATGCTGTAATAGGCAGGGATAATGAATGGTGTATGGTATGTAATTGGTAGGTCCTCTACCCAAACTGTGTAATGACGATATGCTCTTGTTAGTACCTCGGGGAGAAGGGAGGAGAGCAGAAAACCACTTGGGTTTGCTGACGACCAAATATTTTATGACACTTTTGTCATCTTTGCAGGGATCCTGTGGCTTAAGCTCCTTCATTTTCACAAGTAATAATTGTGGTACCAGATTATTCAGTATTTTATTTGCTTAACTAAAAAGTTCTACAGAGGTCTATCCAATAACAAAACTAAGATTTGGCTATAATTTTATGAAGATAGACTAACTGGACACAATTTATATTGAGGTGAAGATACGGCAAGACATGGTTCTAACACAAAGAAGCCAGGGGTATTTTTTGTGAAGTGTACTTTTTCAACACAATTAAAATTTGGCACTGTATTCTGTCTTTGCTGTCTAATGAATCATGCATAAATCGTGGGTGTAATTATTTTTTAAGTGGTATTTTGGAAGTTGGAGAAAGTCTAAAACAATGCTTGGCTTTTATCTTCACCAGTGTTTTTCTTAAGAGCATGTCTTCTTTTACCTAGAGAATAGGAAGGAATATTTTCACTATATTTTTCTACTTAGTTTAACTAAAGAAAACTGTTTATATAAAGGTGGCTGTGACATTCAGGCACAGAGTACAGTTGTAAAACACATGAATTCTGGAGACAAGCTCAGCATGTTTTGGAGCACATCATGTATCTTGGCATTTGATGAGCAGCTGCTGTGCTGAAACTCCTGATTCTTGCTCCCTGAAAGATCAGGCAGTCACCTTGCCACCTATTCTTCATCAAATCTCCTAAAATAGATACTTCAGAGAAACAGTCACTGAAACATTTTTACCTGTATCCCATGAGTGAGTAACCAGCTCATCTGTTCTCTCTGTCTAAGTGGAGTACTGCTGTTAAATTTAATTCTGGAGGTAGTGATGGAAGATAAAAGGCTCTAGCTTTGTTTATTACATTGATTACCAAATGGGAGAGTTATCATTTCTGTAAAAAAAATTAACACATGACAAAGATAATTCTCTGGGAATTTAAATACATCCTCAAGACAAGCAAACACCAGATTGTTTTCCTGAATTCAAATATTCTCAGAGCTGGTACATAAAACTTAGGGGTAATTTATTAGTTGTGATCAACATGTTCCAAGGAAAAAGCAAAAGCTCATTGTCTTGGTTACTCTGCTCTTCTTGTTGGACAAAATACCAGACACCCAAAATGAAAGAAGGAAAGGTTTATTAATTCCCAGTTAGTGGAGGGTTCAGTCCATACTCGGTTGTCTCCAAGGCACAGTGGCACACGGCAGAGGGCAGCCATTCCTGGTGATGGCAAAGAGCAAGAGCAAAGGCAAAAGGGAAGAATAGTGGCAGGCTATCAGTCCCAGGCTGGGTGTAGCACTCACACTCATAATCCCAGTAGCACTTACACCCATAATCCCAGTAGCATTTATACCCACAATCCCAGTAGGACTTACACTAATAATCCCAGCATCGATCATGAATTAATCACAAACTCTAGAAGCTGCCCCATGAATGCATGAGGCTTTTTAGACACAAGCAATAGCACTTATAAAGGGCAACCTTTACTGCATGGCCTAGTCTTGGTTGACCTTCATTAGAGTAGACCTCAGGGTGCTGGTTAGACAAGGAGGGAATGGGGTTGGGGAGTGAGCTGCACCAATACCCCAAATTGGGGAATCACACTCTCATTGTGGTGGACCAGAACACCATTTCCCATGGAGTTCTCATTCCCCTTCCAGGGATTCTTCATGCATTTCTCCTGAAGTGGCTTTCAGCAGAGTGTTGGAAAGTGGTCCCCCAGGTAGACCTAGGTAGTCTGGGCAGTTAACTGGTCCCTGGTTTGTGTAGGAGTCCACGCAGTGCCTAGTGTAGAGCACAGGAGGCAGCACACCTGCTGGAGGGCAGGGAGCCATTGGGTACAAGGGTGAGCAGAGAGGCAATGGCAGGAGTCGAGGCTTGAAGGTGATGAGAAGACAGCACCCAGCAGTGGAGTGTGTGGTGCAGGAGCACGTAGCTGATCAAGCAAGAAAGTCTGGCTGGCAGGGCAGAGCCCCGGATGCTATCTTGGGATTTGGGAGAAAGGAAGGCAATTTCAGATATAGCAGGACATCATTACTGAAGAACAGGGTACTGTTCTGGAAGCTAGGAGAAGGGGGAAGTTAGGAAGCAGGTTCCCAGACTTAGGGCATGGATTAAGGCCTAGTTTCAATTTGTTTATTGCAAGAATAGAGCAAAGAACAAGAGGAGCTAGAAAAAATACTCAGGCCACGGGCCTCCTCCAGTGCCTTGGCCAAGTTGGCATCATTGTCTTCCCTTGCTGTGTGCAGCAAGCCCTGCAGCATCTCCAGCAGGCCTTCTCCTCCCAGGCTGAGGCTGCACTGGCATGTTCAGGAAGTGTTTGGCCTAATCTGTCAGGTCAGCGGGAAAGAAGTGCATCTAATTGAAAACGAAAGTTGGGAGGAGAATATGTGAAACCCAAGGAGCCATATGAAATGCCAGCAAGAAGCAGCTCCAGGGCAGAGATGCCACTTCAGCTGCACTTTGAGGAAGCACCAGCTGAGTACCCTAAAGCCCTGGCTCCAGTTCCAGTTGCCTTCTCTGGATACGTACATGTTGATTAGAACTTGAAATTTTCCTGGCAGAGCCACTGGAATACAAACCAATTCTTGTTCTTTCTGGTCAACATGTTTCAAAAAATTCTGTCCTGGTTCCTGTTTTTTGAATCCTCCTCTGAAGCGCAGAGAGGACTCTCACTCACCATGTGCTCTCATGGAGCCAGCAGGCCTGAGCACAGAGATCCTGCCCCAGTGGGAGATGAGGTAGAGGCTGTGGTCACTTCTGGGAGCATAAGCCAGAGAACCCACACTCTGAGGAGGACATGGAGGAGACTCAAAACAAGATGTGCTGGTCAGATTTGTAACACTACAACAGATACCTGAGGTAACCAACTTCAAGACAAAGGGTCAGCTTGGCCCACAGTGTCGAAGCTTCCAATGTGACTAAGTGTGCACATTGCTTTAGTCCTCCTGTAGAAGGGCAGAACATCAGGGTGGGTGTGCACCATGGAGTAAAATGCTCCTCCAGTGGCCAGGAAGTGAAAGGGGGGAAGAGAAAGCAGCTGAAGCCCCAGCATGCCACTGGGGGCACACCCCTGTGAGTTGACACCCCCTGGAAGGTCCCGCCTCTCAGAGGCTACACTACTTCCCAGGAGCATTACAGGCTGGCAATCCGTCCTGTAGCACATAGGCTTTTAGGTGTCACCTAAGACCCAAATGGTAGCAATGGAACAGTAGAAAAACCTGTTCCATTAGAGCTAAAGGAAGCAGTATTGTTCAGCATGGAGAAGAGATAACTTGGGAGCAAACCTCTGGAAAGCAGTCATAAGGAAAAAATTAGTCATGGTGTGTGTGTGTGTGTGTGTGTGTGTGTGTGTGTGTGTGTGTGTGTATGCTTGGATAAAGACAGTATAAAGACAGTATAACTAGCGAGTGGGTAAACATCATGGAGTCAGACGTGATCTCAAGCTAAGGGGTTGCTGATGGTCAGAGGAGCTTCCAAGTGCCATGTGAGTCTTGGAGCTGGTGGTGAGATGAACAGTGGCCTTGGGCTCCAGCAGCAGCCAGAGCTCATCTAGATGTCACTGAAAGCCCCTGAGATTCTCAGCCAGCTGCAGCCTGCACACTGGGATCTCTGACACAGTTTGGAGGAAGGGATTCCATCTTAGAGCCCCCAGCTAGGTTTGCAGGCCCTGCTCTCCCTGCTCCTGCACTCCTGCAGCTCTCTGTGCTCTTCAGCTCCAATGCTGTCCTCCATCCTTTCCTTTAGAGCTGTGCAGTGTGTCTCACTGGATTTCAGCCATCACTCTGAGGATGTGGACTGACTCACAATTGGAGCCTCTGATTTTCTGTTACGGTGCTTGGGGTGCCCATCTGCTCTCTTGTCTATAAAACAAAGGGACATTATGTTATACTTCTCAGGTAATAGACCCTTCTAGGGTGAGTCCTGTGACCTTGGACAGAGCCTGGGATTGAAGCTGCTCAGTAGGGCATGTGATAGTTGTGGGCTTGGAGAGGAAGGCTGGGAGCAGAGGAAAGCCACAGAACCCGAGAGGCAGCAGGCTCTGGGCAGCAAGGAAACCTCACCAGAGGAGAGCAACACAGCCAGCAGGCAAAGCATAGGAATCAGAACTAGCAAGCAGAGGCAATGGGAAATAGTTTTCTTGGTGGAAAGGCAAAATAGAATTAAGGACCAATGTGCCAGGATGAGGATCCCAAGGTGTAGAAGACATGTTATCAGAGTAGAAGCACAAAGTGGTGAAAGGGTTAGAAGCTCAATGCAGAACCTCAGTGTCACACTAGAATGACTTTTACCCTGTCTGCTTTATTTATTTATTTATTTTTTTGATGTGTTTGGTACAATATCTCACTGTGCAGCTTGGACTCATAGTGATCCTCCTATTTTCAGTTTCCCCAGTACTGGAAATACAGGTGTGCACTGCCACGCCCAGCCCCAGTGGCTGGCTCAGCATACTCAAGGGTGGGAGTGGCACGGCATGTGTTACTGAGGATATAACCCCAGTCCCTGTGCTTGCCTAAGCA